TATTAAAACCTAATCTACCATAATTACCTCTTCTCATAATGATTGGTTAATTAATTAGTGAGAATCCCTTTTAATCACCATGATCCCTTACAACCATGAAGATTGATACCGATTCTTTTCTTGGATGCTGGAAACTTATCAACATACAAGGGCTTTTTGATTGCACTAGCTATATAACTTAGACAGGTAGAAGTTCAAAACTCTAGGGTTAATTAATATTCAATTAATTTATTCAAACACTCAATCTCACAACGACCCCAAAACTCTAAGCAACTATGACTGAAAAGATTTTAATTAATTATTCATACAATCACATAGTGCATGTATGTGCAAACAATCACAAGTGTATATGCATAAACAATAAATAATACAAGTGATTTGTTAACGTGGAAACCCTACTTGGAAAAAATTGCAAGAATCCTCTAATGGTTCACCAAAATCTAATTCACTATCCCAAAGTCAACATACAAGGATTTGAGTCTTATGTCTTAACTAATACCATGGTTAGATGCTCTCTTTCTTTAATTTGTCTCTCTGCCAAAGTTCCACCTTCGACGTTATATGTAGTTTTACTTGGATTCACCTTCGTAACGGATCCTCTAGGCTTCGAGTAATCATGGCCATGCCAATGATCGCCGGTATGCACACACCAATGGGTTTGGTTTACAACATTCAAGATCTTCACTCCAAGTTGTAAGGTTTGGCCATGATGATTGAATGCATAACCCATTTTTGATTGAAGCAATCATCAAACCGTAGGAGGGGACTACTTCCAAAATCCTTCTTTTCTGGTAGTTGGGTAAAGGGGAAGTCAACTACCCTAGAGTACTACCCGGTGACTCCCTTTACCCGCATTTATTCCTTGGCATTACCTAAATGAATTATTTAATTTTGGATAAAAAAAAACATAAATATTTAATTCATAGAGAAAAATGACTCCGCGGATTGGCTCCCTTTCTGAACCTCTCAATGAACAAATGAGATGTTTGCTTGCTTCACCGCCAAAAAACAGGCCCATAGGATGCACCAAGGAAAATAATTATTACAAAAGGCAAAAGAAGTTGAGCCTATTATAGCAGAATAAGTTGCCATTGATTTTGCATCTTCAAGACGTGAAGAAAGACTTGAACTCATATGAGTGGAAGTACTTACAAAGCCTGACTAGGGACAACTTACCGATATTCAAAAAAGTCGGCCTTATCCTAGTTTTATAGCACACCTATGTAGAGGGATCTTGCCAATGCTATGCGTGCTGCATTTCCATCTTTTGTCCAAGTGAAAAATATCTTGTCCATGTCCTTCCAACTTGATTCCTTCATTCGCTATTGAGAATGAAACATCTCTTAACTTGTAAGTGGTAGAAATGGACTCTGTTGCATATAAATGGGAAAGAAGAGGCTGGTCTTAGGAGTACTTAAGAACAAAAACCAAGTAGAGATAGAAATTAAGAGCTCGACTTTCTTCTATTTTTCTTCGAGTTGATTTGATGAGCAAGGAAAAGATTTCTCTTAACAATAGGAGACAAACATCCTTGGGTCTTAGGGATCTAGGGTTGTGGTAGAAGCTCTATAGATACAATATGAGTTTTTACTCTCACAAGGCTTACAAGAGACTTATCCTAGCTAAAGAAAAGATTCTCCCTATTTATAGGTCCAGAATAGGGATAATCTTGGTCAACAAGAAAATTCAGATTTGCGAACAATCACTCAATTGGTGGGAGGGCGATGGTTATGGGAATAAAAATTGTATTTCAAACCTAACCAAGGAGGGCAAACCACTTAAGCGACAATGAGACCACTTGAGCAGGGTCAAGGACTGCTCAAGTGAGCCCAGTTCTCCTTTGTGGTCTTTTTCTCTTTTTTTTCCCTAAGTCATAAAGAAATTGCTCTAGCGAAGGCTAACGAGCATAAGGCAGTCTCAATTTTTTAAGCTCAAAATAAAGTAAAAAAATTGTCCTCTTGAGTACTAAAGGGTGTTACTTAAGAGGAGTTCACTAATGGCTCAAACTATATTTTCAAAACACAAATGACTTAGAAAATCTTTTTCATTTAAAAATACCTAGGAGTCATACACGGATTGAATCCTAATTCCATTTTAACTCTAATCTTCCTAAGTCTATTAAACATATGAATCATTTTAGGTATCTAGGTCATTACCTTTGTCCTAACACCTACGCTTGAAGGTGCAACCGGAGTGTAAATGATGTAGTTTTAACGCATGATCTCCTCCCTTCAATGACATTTTGCATTATGACCATAGAATAGATTGAGATTTACAATGGACTTCACGAAATAGCAAATTACAAACATATTTAACAATCTCCCTTTTTGGTAATTTTGTGACAAAATACTCAAGTAAAAAATTAAGATTTCAACTCAAACTATTAAACAAGGATCAAAATATCGTTTCGAAATGGTCGAAACATCCAAAACGTTTCCGTTTCCAAGGAGACCGAAACGAATCAGTGATGATTGAAATTTTAATACTTCGAGCTATTTTAAAATATTTTAAAATATTTTGTTATATTTCAATGCATTTGCACAATTATCTCAAAATGCTTTAAGGTATTTTAAGATATTTTAGTATATTTCGACCAATATTGTGAAAAATAATTTTTAAATTTTTTATTTTGTTCATTCTGTTTTCATAACGGATTGAAACGCTTCCGAAATATGTCGTTTTCGTTTTCGTTTTTTAGGTGACCGAAACAATGCACCGAAACGAATTTTGATGTTTACTATTGAATAAAATGAATTGTAAACCTAATTTCAGTACTCAACATATCAACACTCAAATCAAAACCTTGTGAAAAGTATCATATGTTAGAGAATTAATAGCACAATCACAAGTATGGTAAGTACCAAGTTAAACAGAGGGTATATTTATGTATACCTCATGTAATTGCAAATATATAACATATTCAGAACTAATTTGTTCCATATGCTTGAGAACCTATTGATATAGCAATGTTAAACATATCAAGTTCTCCCCTTAATTGGTGTTTACAAGTGAAATAATAAGTGAAAAATAAAACAACTATAAAATAGGTGACTTCATGCTAAGTTTGAAAATATACTCCCCTTGGGTATTAGAACAAAATCCCCTCACAATGTTCACATGTAACATACTTAGGCTAATTAAGAGTAAATCTCCCTGATTCCTCTCATAAGTACCTAAAATATTCACTCACACGTATTCAAATTTTGTTCAATTTAAACTAATTCAAATGCAACGTGTGTGAAATCAAACTTTGACACATTAGGATTTTGCTTAGTTCAAATCATTAATAAGCTTAACATGAAGTTATAATGCATCGCTAAGTGTATACATGACTGGTTAGTGAGTGTTCTGATGATATTTCTTTTTAGAAAACTCTCATTTTCTTTTATCCCTTTTTCTCTATAGTTTCAATTAACACGATTGTGAGTTTTGTACTTTATCAATATGCTTCTAAACAAGTTTAGCATGAGGTCTATGAGTTTTACAAATGAACAATTTGAATGAAGCATAATTACTCTCAACAATTTGCGTGCAATTATTTTAACCATTTATTTATGCCTCACCTTTTGAAATTTGGCCATAGTTGGCTCTTTTTTCACATTTAGCCTTTGACATCTTTCAGAGATTAGGGTTTAATTAACCTTTAGTCACGTATTCACCTATCACAAACACTTAATAGTCACTTAGGATCATTAATAGTTCAAATTAATAAGACCCCTAGGTATAAAGGTGAATGTTAGGCGTGCACTTGGTTTTGAATTTTTTAAAGTTAAATGCTATCCAAGCACGCTAAGGTGAAAAAGAGTTTATCTAATGAATCATGTAATAAGATTTATGTCAAATTCTCTATTCTTTAATATAACTCATTGCAATGCACATTTAAACTTTGATTTAAGGATGAAATGTGCAAACCAAAGTGTAAATTACCATGATCATTAACAAACAAAAATAAACAAAAGATTTTTTTTTTTTGCCTTTTCTTTTATAATGTTTTTGTATTTTTCAAATAAACAAATATAAAGAAAAATATGCATAACACATGCAAGAAACAAAAAACAAATCAAGCAATTAACATAAATCCTAAAAATGACTGTCAATAATTGACATCAAACCTATTTTTTGGATTTTTTCAATTTCTTTCGCTTTTGGGTTTTTCAAATTTCTATTATTTTTGAAATTTTCATATAGAAAAACAAATCAAAATAAAAAATATATATATACAATATATGACCCTAGGGTGTTTGATGCAATGCATTAATAAACACCTCGGAGCCTGTACCTTTGGTTGAGATGATGAGTTTCTCAAAGTTCGCCCTAGTCATTCAAACTTGTTTTTCCTTCCTAAAACTCGGGTTAGGTCAGGGAATAGGTAGAAGACTAACTTTCTTATCCCCGAAAGAGTGTAGATTAACCTTGACCTTAAGGGTAGAAAGAACTTTGTGCACTCTAGCATATGGTCCATTTGAAGATGATGCATGACTATGCTTGGACTCACTTGACCTCTCTAAAAGCTTAAAAAAGTTTAACACTTGGTTGTTTTATGCTTTAGATTGATTATCTAGATGCATCAGGTTCTTATTTAAGACATTTTTATTTTTCATGCAATGTCTACTATGATGACCATATTCTCCACAAGTATAACACGTATCATAGTTGGTTTGTGTCTCCTTAATAACATTCTTATTTGAGTGCCTTCCCTTACCATTTTTAGCCTTTTTAGGACTTTTGCTTTCTTGTGGGGAAGATGGGTTGGTGTTATCTTTAACAAACCCAATCTTGAAAGAAGTGTTGGTGGTGTGTTCATGTGTGTAGGCTATACCACGCTTGTCACCCACACTTTTTCTGATAGATAACTTTCTATCAAACTTATCATTGCTTAGAAAAAGTCTTTTAGAGAGTTCATTTGAATCATGAAGATCTTTATAAAGTTTTACACATTTTAACAGAAGATTATTTTTAGACTTTACAAGCTCATAATCTTCTCTTTCAAAGAAGCTTACTCTATCGAGGAAAGATTTCTTGTCTTCCTCTAGTCCACATATTTGTGTCTTGGGCTTCACGAGATCCAGATGAAGTGCTTTTCTATCTTCTTTACTTGAGTTAACCCGATCATTGAAGGAAAACACTTTCTTTTGTTGTTTGAGGAATTGTACATTCAATTGGTCATATGCGTCTTGTATATCCTCAAAACACTCTTCATCCTCCAGTGCTCCACATGTAGGGATTTTTTCTGCTAAGTCTTCTATCTTCGTGGTAGGAGTTGCCTTAACTTCATTCATTGAAGTTTCTCTAGGGGAAGAAGAGATTGAACCTACAAAGGTCGTGAAATTCTCTTCATCATCTTGAGAAGAGAAGTCATCAATCAATGTTGATTCACTTTCACTATTGCTCCACTTGGCCTTTATAGCTCTCTTATTTTCTTTAGGTGAATTTTTCTTTGTTCGATTCAGGCATTCCGAAGCCATATGTCCAAATCCTTAACACTCATAACATTGTAAGCTTTGCCCCTTTCTCTCAACCTCGTGTCAAGAACATCTTCCCCTTTCTCTCTTCCCTCTTTCAGAATAGTAGGTTTATTAGGCTTTCCTTTCAACTTTGAGGACTCTACATTACTAGTCTTGAAGTACTTTCTGAAGTTTCTAACAATTAAGGTTAGGTTCTACTCTCCTAATCAGGGTGACTCAAATTTTCCTCCTTCTCTAGTTAAGCTTAAAATGATGCCCTTGGCTTTCTTAATGGATGGAAGGTTCATCTCAAAAGTCAATATCAACCCAATTAGGTCTTCTATTAACTCGACTCCCTATTGACGCTTGTCTCAAAGAACGTGACCTTTGCATAAAACTTCTCGGGTAGAGATCTCAAGATTTTTCATTTTATAGAAGTATCGTCAACCTTAGTATTTAATGCAAAAGATGAATTTATAATATCGCATAATTTAGCGTAAAATTCACTAAATGTTTAATCATCTTGCATGCTCAAAGTCTCAAACTGAGAGGTGTACCTTTGGAGACTAGACATTTTCACCATAGAAGTCCCTTCATAGGAAATAACCAAAATGTCCCAAGCTTCTTTGGAAATCTCGCAATAGCGATTCTCTAGAACTCATTCGGTTTCACGACATTGAATATCACATTCAAGCATTTAGAGTTCCTTTCAGTACGCCGCTTGTTTGTTCTCGATTTTTGACTGAGATTTCACTTCAGCCAACACTTCACCATTTTCTACCGGTGTGGTTATGATGGAAGGGCTCCAACTCTCTTGCACACTCAACTATGAGTTTTCATGTGAGCTTTTTAATACGTGAAATTAAACCCATCGAAAAATATTGATCATTTAATTGAACCTCCAGCTTTTTGAGACTCCATTTAAAACTAACTAGTATTAACAATCTACGTGTAACTCTAGGCAACACGCTCTGCTACTAATTGTTGTTTTGGGAGGGAGGAGAAACGAAGTAGATTTTTCCTCACGATTATATATGTAGTGCGCATGACACTACCCAAAGGGGGGTGAATAGGTTTTTCAATTTTAAGCATAATTGATTATAAATTAAAACTTAATCTATTACAATTACCTTTTCTCACAATAATTGGTTAATTAGTTAATGAGAATCCCTTTTAATCACCATGATCCCTTACACCCATGAAGATTGATGTTAATTAATATTTAACTAATTTACTCAAACACTTAATCTCACGGCGACCCCAAAATCCTAATGCAACTATGTATGAAAAGATTTCAATCAATCATTCATACAAATAGATAGTGCGTGTGTGCAAATCATAGTTGTTAGTATCGTACAATACGCGATACGTATCGTACGATACGTCACAATATAGGCCTAAAACGATACGTATCGTAGTTATGTATCGTTTTTGTATTTTATTGTCCGATACACGATACGTTTTTACAATACGATACGAACGATATGTGCAAAACCTAATTTTTTTTTTTTGGAACGACGTCGTTTTGACTAAAAGAGACTGATTTTTTATCCTTGCCACTCAAAACGACATTGTTTTGAGGCTAGGGTTTAGAAAAAAAATAAATCCCTCTTTTTCCTCTCATTCCATCTTCGGTGTGTTCCTTCTGGTCTGGGTGTTCTTCACGAGCGACGACCGACGATGAAGACACAAGACCAGCAAGCCCAGTCTAACCCCGACAAAGGCACAAGAGCCATTGACGAAGACAGGAATCTTCCCAAATCCTGTTCTCTGTCTTCTTTCTTCTCTCAGTTCTTCATCGGCGAAGGTAGCAAGCCCAGTCTAGCCCCACTCTGTTCTTCTGTTCTTCATTCAGGTGTCCATCAACGAAGGCAGGAATCTTCCCTCTCTCTCTTCTCTCTGTTATTGAGGACGAAGAACCCCAATCTAGCCCCTCTCTCTCTTCTCTTTGTTCTCTGTATTCTCTCTCTTCTCCCTGTTCTTCATCGACGAAGCTGGCTGGATCGAAGCTGCAACTGCCTTCTTCTTCTTCCTTCTCCAACTAGTCCAACTAAACCTGTGCATTGTAAGTAATTCTGTTAATTTATTTACAAAGCCAAATATTTTTTTTTTGTATAAAAATTTTGAATCTTGATTAATTTATAAAAATTTTGAATCTTGATTAATTTTAATTTTGTGAAACAGTGGCATCACCAGCATCCTATTTTCATTATTTCATATAGAAATGACTAAAAAACTTGCTAATGATCCCACATGGGAACATTTTGACAAAGTAGAAGGATCAAGGTTGAAATTAATGAAATGCTATAGTTGGTGGAGTATTAATGAAATTCTATATTTTTATGAGTGTATGATTTTTTTTCAAAGGTATATATATTTTATTATTATTTATTTAAAATTACACCGTTTCTTACGATACACGATACGATACAATATTTGTATTTTACGATAAACTTTCTGATACACGATTTGATAACTATGGTGCAAATAATCACAAGTATATATGCATAAACAATAAATAATACAAGTGATTTGTTTATGCAGAAACCCTCATCAGAAAGAATCGCAGGGAATCTCTAATGGTTCACCAAAACCTAATCTACTATTCTTAAGTCAACATCCAAGGAGTCAAGTCTTATACCTCAATCAATACCATGGTTAGATGCTTCCTTTCTTCAATATTTCTCTCTGCCAAAGGCCCTTCTTCGACGTTATGTGTAGCTTTACTTAGATTCACCTCCGCAAAGGATCTTCTAGGCCTCAAGTAATCATGGGTATGCCAACGATCTTTGGTATGCACACACAAATGGGTTGGATTTATACCATTTAAGATCTTCACTTTAAGTAGTGAAGTTGGTTAGAATATCTAGAAAGTAGCCTTAGGTCTTAGGGATCTAGAGTTGCGGTGGAAGCTCTATAGGTAGAGGATGAGTTTTTACTCTCAAAAGGCTTACAAGAGGCTTATCTTTCTTGAAGAAAATACTCTCCTTATTTATAGGTCCGAAATAAGGGTAATCTTAGCCAACAAGAAAATTCAAATTTGTGAACAATTGTTCAATCGGTGGGAGGATTGTCATTGGATGGTGGTCACGGGAATGAAAATTGAATTTCAAATCAAGCCAAGGGGAGTAGATTGCTCGAGCGAGCTCATAGAGTGGGTCCTGTTCTCCTCCTTGGTCTTTTCCTCTTTTTTTACCCTAAGTCATAAAGAGACTACTTTAGCGAAGGCTAATGAGTATATGATGGTCCTTACTGATTTTTAAGGCTAAAATCAAGTAAAAAACTTGTACTCTTGAACACCAAAGGGTGTTGTTTAAGAGGGGTCCGCTAATGACTCAAACTACTTTTTCAAAACACAAATGGTTTAGAAAATCTTTTTCATTTAAAAACATATAGGAGCCATTCATTCATTATACCCTAATTCCATTTTAACTCTAATCCTCTTAAGTCTATTAAACTTAGGGATCATCTTAGATATCTAGGTTATTTGTCCTAAGCCTGAAGGTGCAATCGGAGTATGAATGATATAGCTTTGACGCGTGATGTCCTCCTTTTAATGATGTTTTCGGATCTTCAATCTTTATAGCATTATGACCGTGAAATATGTTGAGATTTACAATAGATTCCACAAAATTAGCCAATTACAAACTTATATCTAACAACTTCTTTTGTTCTCTTAGTGAAGATCACATTTTCTACAACATTCCACTATAGAGCTTAAGGCACCTGCAAGTGACTCCATTCACTTTCATGCAAAGTTTGATATTTTCACACTTTTTAATTTTTTTTTTTGACCGGAACACTTTTTCAGTTTAATAAGCTTGAATAATAATATTCTGAACCCCTAATTGAAACTAACCTTCAAAATAATTTCAGTGTTAATTCTTATCATTCATTTTCTTGCATGGAGTGTCTCAACTGTCCTTGGCTAGTTTCAGTAGCTGATGATTGTCACATGTTAAAGAAGTTAACAGACGGTCGAGAAACATAATGAATGGTAAACACTTGCTGATGAAGTCTTCTTTCTCTTAGTTGACTGAAATTGTTGCTTTCTATGCATATGAAACTAGAGGTACTATCAGGTGATGAACCTAGTCCTCTGATTATTGTAATGAAGACAAAGAAAATTGAATGATAATAAGTTGTTGGAACACGGCTCCATCGTGTAGCATTTGAGAAATTAGTTGAAAACTGGCTCAGATAGACATAAATTTTGTAAATATTGTCCAAAAGACATAATATTTTTTGACCGGAACACTTTTTCAGTTTAATAAGCTTGAATAATAATATTCTGAACCCCTAATTGAAACTAACCTTCAAAATAATTTCAGTGTTAATTCTTATCATTCATTTTCTTGCATGGAGTGTCTCAACTGTCCTTGGCTAGTTTCAGTAGCTGATGATTGTCACATGTTAATGAAGTTAACAGACGGTCGAGAAACATAATGAATGGTAAACACTTGCTGATGAAGTCTTCTTTCTCTTAGTTGACTGAAATTGTTGCTTTCTATGCATATGAAACTAGAGGTACTATCAGGTGATGAACCTAGTCCTCTGATTATTGTAATGAAGACAAAGAAAATTGAATGATAATAAGTTGTTGGAACACGGCTCCATCGTGTAGCATTTGAGAAATTAGTTGAAAACTGGCTCAGATAGACATAAATTTTGTAAATATTGTCCAAAAGATAATTTTGCATCTATATTGCTTGCAGTCACATAAATATAAGGATTTTGTTGCAATTTTAATTTTAATGCTGGGAAATTTTAAACGCTCTTGAGAAAGATGCATAGGTCTATAATATACCATAACTTGCTAGAGTTCTAGCTTTAGAACTAGCTGTAAGGGTTTCAACGGTAATCTCTTCTTATGCCCCCAATGCTACAATTAAGGATGTCCATTGTGATAAGCTAGGCTTTCTTGTTTACTCATCTTATTGTGACACTATACCAAGTTTAATATAGTTTTGTCATTAATTTGACTTATTTTCTGATCTAATATGAGTATTTATGATTTCAAAAGGCCTCAAGCAATGCCCTAATAAAAAATACTTCACTTCATTTTACTTTCATTATTTTAGCATTTCTCAGCATCGGTATGCAACTTTGTTGGTTCTTGAAACAACGCTAAACATAAACTTGAGGTGATCCTCTTAAAGTTCCTTATTTGAATTTTGTGAAGGTTGTTTTCTTTGGTGATAATGTCCCCAAGGATAAAGCTGATAAGGCATTGGAAGCTGCAAAAGAGTGTGATGCTTTTCTTGCACTTGGATCATCTCTGATGACCATGTCTGCTTTTCGGCTTATTAGGTAGGAGTTATATAGTACATTTTTTTGCTTGTTGAATTCATTGTGAACCACAATTTACTGTCACATGTGAAGAAGACTTGGGTCTGCGTTAGAGAGAAATAATATGCACATATGTATTCTTGTGGTTGACCAACGTTATAGATGTGCTGCTGTGGCAACTAAAATGCATAAAACTAGTTTTGGTGGATCTGCAGGATTTAGTTTACCTATACGTAACAGATACATTCTGTGTAACTTTTTGGGATTTGCGTGAGTAATAAGTTTTCTTGGCAGTGCATTCAAGAGTGTGTTTGTGGATGTGCTCTCAAGCCCTAAAATAATAAGTTAAAAAAAGGATTGATACGGAATTACTAAATACTGCAGAGATGCTGTTAGCTGAATAGTTTATGCTATGTCAAAGAGGCTATTGGTTCGTACAATGGCAAAGTGCTCAGGCTAGCAACCACATGGTTGGCTTTTTGGCAGCTAGTTTGTGCTAGTAATAGCAAAGATTAGGTTCATACCTAGTCCTTTCCTTCTAATACTCCCGTTCTATATGGGTGAAATTGTGTAATGTCTTTCTTTGTAAAAAGATGACCATCTTGTGAGTGTGACCAGCTAAGTAGGGCAAACCTATATAAATATGGCATTTGACAGTATTGGTGCAAGTGGACAATCATAAATTCAAAACCCACATTCTCAGGCTTAGCATCTAAACATTTTTTCATTGGAACAAATGCGTGAAATAATGGATCACCATGGGATGTTCATGACTCATGAAGTTGGCAATTTTTACTAGAAAACATGATAGCGTAGGGTTTAATAGAAAATATGACCCTTAATAGAGCATAATGACGAAATACGATTCATGCAACTGACCCCAAAAATGTTGGGAAAAGATTTTGTTTAGCTGGGTTGAATTTTTAACTGCCGATCTAGCTAGGATTTGATTTACATTATTTTATTACACAAGATTAGATAGCACCAGGATTTTCTTGTTTCAAGTAGAGAAAGCTTCAATGCTTCCATCCTATTCATTGAAGAGAATAGAAAAGGGTGAAATAATCAACTCCATGTATGTGTTGTGTTATTGAGGCTTATAATTGATGTTACAGGGCTGCGCATGAAACAGGTGCTGCTACAGCAATTGTAAATGTAGGTGTAACGCGAGCTGATGATTTTGTGCCTCTGAAAGTTAATGCTCGACTTGGAGAGGTCTTGTGTTGTCAAAACAACCTTTTCTACAAATTCCTTACACTTGTATGATATTTTTATGATCATTCAATGCTCGGTTTGTTGGAACAGATACTGCCAAGATTGCTTAATGTTGGATCCCTCAGCATTCCTTCCCTATAGTGCTGCAACTGGAGAAAGGAGGTATGACGAAATAGTTTATATCACTAGGTAGGTTTTGCATTTGAAATCATTTTAACTTCAATAGATCATATGATATTATTTTTTATGTGATCTTATAAATGCATACACGTGTGTTTGCATGTGTGTGTGTGAGAAAGATAGAGAGAGAGAGTAATTCTTGTTGAACACCCGCCCAATAAAAAGATAACATTAGTCTTATTCTTGTGAATGAGCATTAAGAAAGATTCTAGAACATCCTCAAGATTTGGCGGTAGAAGCTATGGTCTCAAAAGCGGGACTGGCAATGGGTTATGTTGTGTCGGGCTTGTGTCACGCATAAATTGTCATGTGAAAATTTGCTTAACTCATACCCTGCCCATTTATAATTGTGTATAGTTGGTCTAGTGCCGTATCGAAGTCATTTCGTGTAGAAGCCACGTTTAGCGGGTTTGTATCATATTTTAGCCGAATTTGTGTCGGCCCATTTACCAAATAGGTATAACAGTTCTATTCATTTATCAAGTTTGTGTCAGGTTCACGGGTTGTATAGGCCTACTCAAAAGTAGACCAAAAGAAAGCAAAAGAAGTGCACCTATCCCTATGGTATCATATTCTTGGGATCCCAAATATCCTTAAACATATGTTTTATGAGCCAGATTAAAATGGTTTTTATGTAGAGAAAATTCTTATCGGAGTTCAATTATTTCAATAGACTCCCCATAATATTCATCTTGGACTCGATCTAGAACCATTTTATTTCTTTTTTGAAACCTGCCACTAAACTGTTTCATTATTGAAAAAAAGTGTACTTGGATATCTGGTTATTTCACATGTTTGGATTCTTTCTTCATGAAATGAAGCAAATAAAACATGTGATTTTATCTCGAACTTACTTTTTTTGTTTTTTTTAACTTTTTAAAGAAATGGTTTAGTTATTTGAAGGTAGGCTCCGCCCATGGTCATTATGTCTCTTCCCTTGTTCGGTCTTACTCTATCCCTGTTTCTTGGTATTTTGGTTTTCGTAGGAATCTTAATGATAAAGAATATTCGGAGTTATTGGTGCTCCTTTCCATCCTTGTGAGGTTAGGTTCTCTTTGATCCAAGATGAGGACGATAAAAGATGTTGGCATACTTGACCCAACGAATGTGTTTTCATGTAAATCCTTCTTCGAGTTTTTAATTGATGAATCCAAACTTCCTTTATTTATTCCATCATTGAGGATTTGGAAAGCCAATGTACCTTTTAAAGATACAAATTTATGCATAGGTGATTGCTCATGGTAAGATTAACACTATTGATGTGCTTCAAAGGAGAAACCTAAGACTTGTCTTTCTCCGCATTGGTGTGTCATGTGTAGAAGTGATGGTGAAAGTGTGTTATCATTTGTTGTGCATTGCCCCACGACATGCTCACTTTAGAATAAGTTGTTTAATTTTGTGGGACTTTGTTGGGTGGCTCCTAATTCTATGTTTTGTTATGATGTGTATGGATGATATGGGGTGGGATGGAAAAAGGAAGATGAAGACCTTTAGCGGTGTGCTTTCTTTGTTACTATTTGTGTCATTTGGTTGGGAAGGAACAAGGATAGTTGAAGACAAAAGTGAGGACTCGGTTTTCTTGACTTCTTTTTGGGCATCATTGTCTAAGGATTTTGCAAACATCCCTTTTTTGTATTACCATGATTTGGACAACTTCATGTGGCATGTAGAAGGGTTATGCTTCTGTTATTTGCTTTTTTGATGTTTGTTTTAATCTATATTTGGGTTGGATGCCTTATCCACCATAGATAGGAGTTGTAGTTTTTGTCTTATTAGTAAAATTTGTTTCCTATCAAAAAGTCCATTACATTTTTGAGCCAGAGTGAAAAACCAAATACTATTAACGAAAAAATGCAATAAAAGCTCTACCCCTTTTTCGTCTTGTGTGCTTCCTTTTCCTTTCTTCAAGAGAGAGATATACCAAAGCCATATAGATATTATGTATATTCTATGGCTACCCGTACAATGCATGACAAATGTGTACTTTTTCTTTTAACATGGTTAAATGCTATGAAGTACGGATAGGGGATACGGGATACGAGTACGATACGATATGGATACAACGATACGACAAAATCTAAAAAAGTAGAATATAAGTACAATCAAGATACAACTATAATAAAATTTATTTAATATTTTTATTATTTTCAACCAGTTTAATACTTATATATTTTGGTAGTTCTTTAATACACAATAAGAAAAATTAGTAATTCTTTTTAGTTTCAAAAAAATATATTTCATTTCACTATAGTATATTCGCAAAGTGAAGTGATTAATTAAAGGAATTAAAGTTAATATTTACCTAGTATTTAGAAATAATTTTTGCTAAGATTATGCTGTAATAACTTTATTTTATACTCTTTTGACATGTAATTGTAGATAATACTTAAGAAATACTCATGTATCTTTGAAGTAATATAAATTTTTGTTAATATATTGTATGGTATGTGAATTCGAAAAAAGAAGTTAAAAGTTCAATTCAAAAATTATATATGTTGTTCGACCACAAAAGTATCTGTGAAGTATCATAATATTTAATTATTATCGGATACGTAGATGATGTATCTGATACGTATCCTCAAGTATCCGACGAGTATCGTATCCGTGTTTCATAGTTAAAATGTAATGGTCAAAATGTTTATTGTGGCTAAAATCTAAATAGGTGGTTAAAATGTAGAAGTGAATCAAGTGATTAAATGTTTGTCTTGGTTAAAAGGGAAATATGGATAATGGTTGAAATAGTTGTTGTGATTAAAATACTTGTGGCAGTTAAACTATAAGTTGGAAGATTAGTCGTTGGATGGAATCGATATCTAGCCTGTGGTTCTACTTTATGTTTGAGGAGCTTCTTGTTTTATTATATGGACTAGGGTTACCTATGCAATGCATTACAAGTGTGTACTCTTTCTTTTAATGTGATTAAAATGTAAGTGAGTTCAAATTTTTATGGTGATTAACCTGTAAGAGTAGTTACAATATTTACAGTAGTTAAAATGTAAATATGGTCAATGGTTGAAGTGGTTACCTGTGCAATGCACGACAAGTGTGTACTCTTTCTCTTAATGTGATTAAAATGTAAGTGAGTTAAAATTTTTATCGTGATTAACCTGTAAGAGTAGTTACAATATTTACAGTAGTTAAAATGTAAATATGGTCAATGCTTGAAATGGTTACTGTGGTAAAAATAAATTAAAATGTAAATACGGTCAATGTTTAAAATACCGTGGTTAAAATGTTTATTATGATTAAAATATAAATTATAAGATTAGTTCTTGGATATAAACGATCTGGATCATTGTTCTACTCTTTGTTTCAGGAGCTTCCTGTTTTATTTTGTAGATATTTTATGTATCTATACATGCATATACTCCTACGCAGATCCTTGCGGAAACACTTCCAACACATATGGCACACACAGCCCCACACATGTGCAAACACAAGTTGCTTTTCTCTTCATCTATAACCTGTGTCGTGGTCATAATGAACCCTTTTATATTTCCTCCATTCATAATGACATGCGAGTCGGGAATCATTTCAGAAAGAAATTGATGTCTTTCAGCTTCAATGGTTTCATGGCTTTCTTTGGTTCTAAATTGTCTCCAGACTCCTAAATGTCTCCTCACTCGTAAAGTTGATTATATGCAGGGGAATTGTCTAAGTAAGACGTGGCCTTGTATGAATGTACTTTCCTAGAACAACTTCCAGTACTCCACGACCTTTGCTGCGTCCGAATGCATTTTTCAATCAATTTCTGCCTGGCTTCAATTTATCATAATTAGGTTTCGCATGCAAGAGACTCAAATTCTGGTCCAATAGTGCTGTTGTCATGTGTCAACACATTTAATATCATGCATGGATCGGTTACCCAGCAACTCCATTAGCAGTGATGAATGACAGTTATAAACCTTCATTGCCTACACAAATCCCATAGAGAGTCAGAGGGGGAGAAAGAGTATATGGAGCTAGTGTGTGTCCAATCTTGTGTGTGTGCCTGTATGTACATGTATATGGGTGAATGTGAGTCACCCACTGCAAATGAAAAGTTGGTAATACAGAGAGAAAGTTAGAGAAAAGAATGAGGAAATTGGACATGAGTTGTAGATGTATAAGCACATGTAGAAGAGAGATATCTGGAGAAAATTGGTTTACAATTTTATATGGGCATCTTGGTCTGTTGGAATTTAAATTTTGGGGGAAACAATTCCCTCCTACCCCTACTTTACATTTTTGAAACTTATATTGCACCTCTTGGTTTGGATGGAAAATGAAAGAGTTTCACTTTAGTCTAAAAATACAAAGGGGTTATGTGCTTATTTTTAAACCAGGACCTATCCATAGCGGCAAAAAGTTATGAATCTTAGCGAAATAAAAGATTTATGTCTAAGATTAATTTTTTGTTTGAATATTTCACTACGAATCTGTTCTTTTAGTGCCCTAGCACCATACTTGCAATCGCAAGAGGGCAGGCTCTACTGTTTTGTATTGTGAGCACGTTGCTCTTTGCTGATTCTGGTCATCAAGCATCTGACTTATTCCGTTTTGAAATAAAATTCATCAGGCCTCTGCATGTTAGCACAAGACAAAGATGGCTCAAAAATATCTGAAGAGAAGAAAGGGATAGAAAAGAAAATCTCTTATGCTTGTTTAAATTTGCTGTGTTCACAGAAAGAGTTCAGGATAGTATGCAATTTCATCCACCTGTGTAAGAATTATTATGCAGGTATGCAGCGAGCAACTTCATAAAGTAACTTGGTTTAGCCTCTTTAGACCAGAAGATGAAACAGAAGTTTATGCCTGAAGGCAGATCTGCTCAACTCTCATTTTTTGCTAGATTCATGGTCCATTCTCATCTTAGTTCAGTGCTGAATGATCTATTCTTGTCATGTATATTAAGTTGGACATACTCCTTGGTGTGAAATCTGATGCATTATGTACAGTTGATCATATTTTGACAGATTGTT